CTGTATCATGTCAGTAAGTGTATAATAACCTAGGGACACTTGTATCCTGACTATAGAAGTATATGTGTACTGATTCTGATCACTTCCTAGATTTTGTCAAAAGCCTGTTTGTTGTTTACTGAGCTTGATTACTTGTTTTATTTCTGTCAGCTATAAGGCTTCCCATCTGGTGATCTCATAAACACAAGTTAATACCTACATACCCTAGATTGATCAAACTCATACCTGCAAAATGACCCGCATTCTGCGGGTCACACCCGCAAAATGAACCTATCACCCGCGACGATCTTATGACCCGCGCGGGTCATACGTAATCTCCCGCATTCCGTAAATATGACCCGCAATCACCCGCATCCTCGTCTTTCATTAGGATCTCCGTACTTCCGGAAATGTTCCGTTCGTGTCTCTCAGAAGTTTAGCTTTCAGTTATAGGTAAAGTCTGTATACTAAGTGATTTGTTTTCACAATGGCGTCCCTGTTTCGGAACCAGTCTGGCAAATTCAAAAGGTGAGTACTGTTCATTGTTACTACAATGCATATAATCCCGATCGTAGCGCTTGTCATTTCACTTTCACAAATGGCTTCTAACCCGAGAAAACGTTCGTTATTTTAGTGTTCATCGTCAAAAAAGAAAAAAGGATGCCTGTAATTACAATTCTTCGTGTTAATAAGATTATGACTGGCTTCAGAAGAGTAATATTGGACCCGATCATGCCTATTGTAAACTGTGTACCAATCATTTTTCGGTAGCTTCGGGTGCTACGTACGATATCAAATGGCATGCAGTTAAAGAACCCTTTGATATTGATCTTAGGTTTGGTATGTTGTGTAGGCTAACGAAGGCATGTTTGGTACTTTCAGTGAGTAATGCTGACTCTGAGAGAACATTTTCCATGTTGAAGAAGATCCAGACAGAAGGGAGATCTGAATTAGGAAATGATACAATTTGTGCTTTGTTATGTGCAAAACTAAATCAACATGGTTCATGCTTTCACTATGCACCTAGGAAAAGAAAAACATGTTTATTGATTAAGAATATATGTAATAAAACAATGAAGGTGTGATAAAATGTTTCGTTAATTTCAAAAAAGTCATTGATCTTGCCAGAAGACAAAACATAATACGCCGTAAAGCCGAGACCCCGCGAAATTATTAAATTTCCACACAAATTTTCGTTTGCGCGATATCACCCCCCACAGAATTTCACAATGGGGGTAGCGATCCCCATTGGGAGATTCAAAGGTTAGCAGGTCTGCAAACTGGTCATCCAGATTTCTTAATTTGGATGTAGTCTATCTATATATAACACATTGGTATGATTAAAACAACACCCTGGTTTCAGTTTGAGAGTTTGTTGGTGTTTTTAATATCTAAGAATAGCAGGAAGACATAGATTGGTTAAACATGTCACTTCTTTTGTGGTTTCATTATTGACTTGAATATCTGTAACTGATTAGTTGATGAGTTGGTGATTTTGTGTTGTTGTTTCAGAAAGTGGTGCCGTACCACTGTGTGTCATCACCTAAAACTAACTATGCTGTCCTAAACAGTAACCACTCCTACTTCCTCCTTGTGGACAATGGCACTGTCGGCAAATATGGCGGGGAGATCATCTTCAGGAAAAGGCTTGAAAAATACATTGCACAACAGAAAATATCCATAGGTATGTATAGTAAAGTTCTTTTGATGTTAACAGGTGATTGTATGCTACTAAACTAAATATCTTGTATGGTTTTCTTCAAGGATTTCAATTTGACATTTTACTTGTATGATGTTCTATGTGCCAGTTATCTCCCCTAACATCATCCCTCATATGTAACCACGTCTTGTATATATAATGTATATATGAATATATAATGACAATGTTAAATGACTTGTCATTATATCATATATTACCCAATTAAATTTTGTTAGATATATATATACCATATTAAATATGCAGCTATCTCCCCTTGATTGTTACTCAGTTTTATTTCTAATTTTTCTCAAAGTTAACATTAACTACATGTAAATAAAGTGGTTCCAAGATGAATTTACAATGTCACTACCTTAAATACACAGGTAAAGGGGATATACAGTCGAACCTCGTTATCTCGAAGTCGACGGGGTCGTAGGAAAACTTCGAGTTATCCGAGTGTTCGAGTTAAGCGGGTTCATATATTTGGTATGAAATGTACTGTTTGGACATAGCACTAGCAGCCATTGATTTGTACTAGCAGTCATTGATTTGCACTAGCAGTCGTTGATTTGTACTAGCAGTCGTTGATTTGTACTAGCAGCCGTTGATTTGTACTAGCAGCCGTTGATTTGTACTAGCAGTCGTTGATTTGTACTAGCAGCCGTTGATTTGTAGCAGTCGTTGATTTGTACTAGCAGTCGTTGATTTGTACTAGCAGTTGTTGATTTGTACTAGCAGTCGTTGTACTAGCAGCCATTGATTTGTACTAGCAGTCGTTGATTTGTACTAGCAGTCGTTGATTTGCACTGCAGTCGTTGATTTGTACTAGCAGTCGTTGATTTGTACTAATAGCCAATGCTTATAATCAATTGATGGATGATATACATAATCAATAGAACAAATACATGTATGTTATTTTATAATAAACATGCTTACAAAAATAGAGCAAGTTGTTTTTCTCTGAAAAACGTACTATCGTTCATAGCGATGAAAACGGTTGGACAATATTGCGAATTCGTTATGAAATATGGACGGGCCTAGTGATTAAATGTTGATTTGGCTAGTCTTGGCAAAGTCTTTCTAGGTCTTCATTTGTATTTGCATGTCAGTCAAGTTTTACCTCTGAAGTGTTACATTTAAACTAGAACTATCCCGCTGTCTCCGAGCTCGTACTTTACAATGTGGAAATGAAAGTGCTTAATTCTAAAACAAATCACTGTAATGTAGCGCACGCATAGCTGATTCTTTAAATGAAAACACACACAAACAGATTCTATCGTACATGTAACACATTGATTCATAAAAGCTAAATGTGACACCCGACACCTCCTAAACTCGATGTTATCAACAGCAATTATTGTATTGTTCTTAAAATCTCTTGATTGACTTTCAAAGCCATACTGGCTTATGTAAAAACGTTAACCCGTGAAGCTGTCCTATATATGTTGTAATTTTAACTGTGGAACTCTTTTATGCATGACCACACTTTGTGACCAATTTTCCGGTTTAGACTGTCATCAGTTTGGGTGTACAAATCATTAAACAAATTCCCAGTAAGTACAGAATACTGTTGATCAACATTGATGAAGTTTGTTTTTTCTTATGAACAACATGGTTTTGACAGTCAGCACACTTGACAGTGCTTTATCGTAAATTATTTTTACCGATTACATGCTAGTCTACTCACGAAAGATGTTTATAAACACGGAATGGCGAAATGCCGTAGCTTTGCGTTTTATTTGTATCAAAGAATAACTAGTTTACAAAATGAAATTCGAACACTATTTCAGGAGACAATGAAACCAATGTCTTTCTTCGAGGTATCCAGTTTTTTCGAGTTTTGAGGCTTCGAATTATCAGAGTTTTATTGACTAAGATAAAGAAGAGATGTTGCCGGGACCGGAGAGATACTTCGATATAAACGGGGTCTTCGAGTTATAAGAGTTCGAGATAACGAGGTTTGACTGTAATTGTGTAAAAAAATATAAGATTGACTTTTTAATGTGTTCAGTGATGATTTTATGGAATCAACATTGCCATTATTATTTTCATTACATGCATGCATAAACATGTACATATACTGTGAAAATGCATATTTCGGCTAACTGCATACAATTATTGGGCATAAAACAAATTAGTTTATTATTATTTGCTCACCATAATTTACATTTTTCCGTTGATTGCATAACGTTTTTTGTGATATTATTGAAACATGCAGGTGCAGTGAATTAGATTACTCTTAGAGTGCTAAAGATCTGATTGATATGTCTGATATCTTTTACATGAAATGCTATTTGGTCTTTTAAATAAAAACAAATTAATCTAGATAATAATGATTGCTAATTCATTTCAGTTAAGTATAATAAAATTCTGCAAAATGTCTATAATTAATGTTGACAGATAAGTCTGATAACAGAAGGGAATGTAAAAATACCTGTAAGCTATATTGGAAAGTTCAGAACAACTTTCTAGACTAATTTGACGCACATTAGTTTCATGATGAATGCTATAAATTTTCAAATTATATAAAAACTATTAAAACCACATGGCAAGATATTACCATAAATTTGCTTCTTGACATATACCATGTAAAAAGTGTGACAATTGTACATGTAAATTATATCAAAACAATGTTCCTTTTGTACAAAAATGAATTAAAATGTTCCAATTTGAAAAGAGAATTAATTACATGTATAATATATAATGAGGATCAGAAAGGAGCTGATAGCTAATATTAATTTCTCTTCATAGTTATTAGCTCACCTGGCATGAAGTGCCAAGTGAGCTTATGCCGTGGCGCGGCGTCCGTCGTCCTGCGTCAATATTTTACTTTAAACGACTTCTTCTTAATAACCGAAAGGCCTAGGGTGTCGATATTTGGCCAGAAGCAAACTTGGATGAAGGGCTACAAAGTTTGTTAAAATTAATGACCTTCACCTATTTTCAAGGTCACAGGGGTCAAATATGTCAAAAACTTTAAACATCTTCTTCTCAATAACCAAAATGCCCAGGG